CGTCTTCTTGGTCTGCCTCGTGGTCAATTCAGCTCCCTTGTGCACATAGTTTTTACCTCTTTGTCATCGGACATTCTCTCAATGTGTCTCAGCTATTTCAGTCTATTAGCTTTCATGATGCCAGTGATCAATGATGATTTAAACAGATTTTGAACTTCGTTGTTGTTTCTCACTCTCCATGTCATAGATATAGTAACAAAACATAGACAGTAAAAACACTGATTCATTTTTAAGGAAGCAGGTCAAAAGCAGGTACTAGTTATCTGTCAAGATGAGACAGAATACACAATAATAACAAAACAGGGACCTGAAAATAACTCCGGCCACATACAAATATATAGTATGAAAATCAAACAGAAAGAAAAAAAAAGAAGTACTTGGGAACAAACTTCAACTCTTCTTACATGCTGAGAGAAGAAATACACTCTAGAATATGGTCTGGACATGCGATATATTTCGATATTTTATTGCGCTTTAACATCTGTAAAATTACATGCTTACTCTCATATTACCAAGATTACAGTATGTAAAATGCTGACAAGACCAATTATTTTATTTGCTCTGAAACCTGGAGCACTGCTACAAGATTTGCAGCCTTATTACAACTTTTGGAAGAAAAAAAAAAGGGAAAGAATTTTAGGACGAATCACTGGACCCACAGAACAATGCCAACCGCGGGGAACAGAAAGTGAGAAGCAACAACGAAATTCCTAATCTGCTTAAATCATCATTGATCACTGGCATCATGAGGGCTGATAGACTGATATGGCTGGGGCATATAAAGAGTGGCAGATGGCAGAGAGGCAAAACCTTTACACAAGGGAGCAGAATGACCGCAGACAAGAAGAGAGCGCAGATATAAGGAATGGGGCCGAGTGATATTTTGTGGGAAAGTGAATGACAGTGACCGTCAGTATGCAACGGGTTGAAGAGTAAAACAGGCGAAGAGAAAAGGAAAGACATTCATATTCTATGAATGTGAGCATGGACAGAACGATATCTTTACATCTTTACATATACATGTGTGCATACAGTCATTGTAATTGCTATAATCTACAGACATGGGAGCAGCTAAAAACTACCACTACAAGTGCAACTAATATGTGGCGCCAACCAACAAAATAAATAAAAATGTCAGCAATACTGCATTTAAAACATGCAGTAATTGTAATATCCATTGTAAATATTACAGGAGGGGCGAAAATACACGGGGATAGCAGGTTCAGAAAATTTTATAGGCAAATAGGATGCCTCACGGGCCTAATCCTCATTCAAGAGCATAATAATAATACTGTCCTGAATACTAAATAAATATAATTGAAATAATAGCAAATATATACACACGGACTTTTGAGGGGATTTTCTATACACTTTGGCAAAATACATGGGGATAGCAGGTTCAGAAAATTGTATAGGCAAATAGGATGCCTCACGGGCCTAATCCTCATTCAAGAGCGTTATAATAATACTATCCTGAATACTAAATAAATATAATTGAAATAATAGCAAATATATACACACGGACTTTTGAGGGGATTTTCTATACACTTTGGAAAAGGGGGAGGGTGGGGTGGATGGGTGCAGGGGACTTAGCCAGAGTACATAATTATTTCCGAGTGCCAGTATTGCATCAGATCACATGTCGACGGTCAATGGCAAACATTCATGTTCCTTTTTGTTTTGCTCTTGTTTAAGGGATCAGCGAAAATAGTATCCTGTTTTCCTCATCCGCAGATGTATTGAAGAACCATGTTCTTGAGGTTTCACCTTGCAAACGTCAGGCTTCTTAGTTAAACACTATCATAATGTTCCACGCGTGTTTTCAATTTTACGTTTGTTGCAAGTCTACAACTGCCTCCAGCTCTTATCCGCCCCTCCACTCCTCCCCCCCTCTTTTTTTTTATTTCTTCGAAACTGCAGCCAGAAAGATTGATACCCAGGTGACTGAAAGCGCCGCTTTTCGGATGCAAATCCATTAAAAATCGCAGACGCATTGTTCACGCACAAAACATAGGGCTATCTTCTGAATAACGGTCCCAAATTATCGAGGCAGAATATATACCCTTACAGGGCCTCAGTCATGTGTCAATTGCATACTTCCGGGGACTAAACCGGAATTGCGAACTTCCGGGGACTTCCGCCACCGCCGAGAGTATCCCCAACGCCGCGTGGATTAGGGCTAAACTAGATGGCTAGGACTCACGAGTAAATAAAATGAAGGCAGCTGCAGGAAATGCGGTAGCTGCTGCTCGTGAGTCCCAGACATCTAGTTTAGCCCCAATCCACGCGGCGTGGGGGGATACTCTTAGCGGTGGCGGAGGTCGCCGGAAGTGCGCTATTTAAGTCGCGGGAAGTGTGCAATTGACACGTGACTGAGGTCGGAACAGTATTTGGGTCTGTTTTATGTGATCGCATCAACACTGCAAGGTGCTGTTCAGAGCTACTTGATGGCAAGCAATGCTAAGCCTTGTTTTTTTTTTTTTTTTTGCGCACATGACATAGCTACAATTACAACCTAAAGCTCACCCGTCGGGGATGCTGACTGAACTTGACGATTTTGTTCTTTGCAAAGCCACCACCACCAGCTAAATTCTCTTAAGCCGGCAATAACGTCTCGGGTTGGAATCTGCATGTTTTTTTTTTTTTTTAAATTGGCAATGGCTGCCAGGTTGACTAAGCCTAAAATGTGTAATGGGTAATGTCTTAGGAAATAAAGACGGTTTGGTGTAATGTTGATCATTTCCTTTACCGAGTGTTGATTTGTCTATAAAAATGACATGATGTGCCTAATGCGCCACTGGTTTGAAAATGATAATTTAAACACCTTGGCAAGCTAGGAAAGTAAAGCGCTCCCCATTTTTAATTAAGCAGCAAAGAAAAAGTGTTCAGGCATACAGTGAAAGCGAAGCTCTTTCAACAGTTGAAATATATACATATCCCTGTTATAATCATGTAAGATTGAACGGGCAATAAGATCCGTTCTAGTACTGTCATCCAGTATGCGGAGCAACGGATTTCTTTGGTATCAGACTACAAGGTAGCAGATCTGGCACTTAATACAAGAAGGTATGCTTTACATTGTCGTCCTTACTTTTCTTCCTAGATTGCCCTTCATATGGATCAAAGTCCTACGTCCTCCGTCTCCTTTCATTAGTGAAAGTCGAGTTCTTTGCATTTATGTTTACGACTGGTTAGATTTTGCAGCTAAGGCTTTCTGTAGAATGAAGAATCTAGTCGTCTCTTGTGGCATACATGACAGATTACAATAGTTCTTGTCTGTGCTTTCCCAGTGGGTTATGCGAACAATCGTAGTAGTAGTACATTTTACCCCACTAGGACATCACATAAGCGATAAACACCAGTGGACACAAAGTGCCGCAGTGTGGATGAGAATCACCCGTGGAGAGGTCCCAGCAACCGCGTTCAGCCTTTAGGCCATATTTATGGTCGGTCTATATTGCGGCCCTAGAAAAAGCCAGGTTGGGGCTTAAAAATAACGAAAAATTCATCTCACAAGGGGATGACAATATATATGCAAATAAATGCAATTGATTATTCAAAAGGGGATGCATAGAAGAATAGATTGTAGAACATAAATATTGCTAAAGTCAACAGTGGGTTTGTTTTAAACCAAAAAAAAAAAAAAACCGACACACAGCAATTATTCTCGGGAACTATGACGCATCAGTTGCAGTAATCACACCTCCTTACTTCTTTGCGAGTGCAGCATTCCCAGCTTTTTGTTTGCCGAACCTCCATGATACCTGCTCAAAGAGTAACTCCTACTGTGTTTCGTTTCATGTTTACTCCCTTTGTTCGACCTTCGACCCCTGACAAAAGAGACGAAGCTTGACTTTTTTGACCGTGAAGACTTCCTTTTTATAGATTCCTTGCCGCTAACATTACTGCCGCCAGGATGCTCGTTATCAGACGAGTTGGGCGATAACCGAGATTGGCTCTTTGAAACATCTTCGTGGGACTGAATAGGAAACGGAAACGGGCGAAGATTTGCTGCCATTGTTGGGATTATCATAGACACTGAGGATGTGATACCATGGCCCGGGGTGTTCATTCCCAGGTCACTGGCAGGGTAATGCTGATGCCTGCTTGAGAACACAGTGAAGATTGGTTGATTGCTTGTCCCTTTCGATGAGCTTGGACGTTCAGAATAGTCTTCTGGTCCAAGACGTTGAAGGCAAGCATTTCTGTTGACAAGGGCAATAACAGGCGCGGATTCACGTTTTCTCATCGGCGATGGTCTCTGATAGGAAGCGTTTTTGGTGTACTGTCGCGAGGAGACGGAGGTGTCGGTTCTGTTCTCCGTTGGAGATCTTTCTCTAGCTGGAGTTTCTGAGTTATACTCTAGGCGGTCCCTGGAAGTGTTTAAACTGCTGCTAGCTAATCCTGCGTTTTGCTGTGAGGGTGTTGTGAGTCTGTTAGGCAGTTTATTGTTCCTAAAGGGCATTTCTTCATTTGATGCGATGTCTCTTGAGTCAAATATAGAACCGCTACTTACATCATGTAACTTTCTGCTGTTACTGGAGCGCCTAGGATCAAGTCTTGATTGGTCACCGGAATCATATTTCGGACAGCTAGTGAGTTCATCGCTGAGGCGAAGGTCAGACATGGAATGACGCTGATAACCTGATTGTTCGGTGTAGAATACCATTTGATTACTTTCACTGTCATGGTCGTGCTTGTGGTCGGTGCTTGTTGACAATCCTCGTCCCGTCACCTGTGGCATGTAAACATAATTAACCTGTCCCATTTTTCGACCAATTCTAGAAGGACACCCGGACTCACCTGCCACAGTTAGGACAGGCAACTTCCAACTGATGTTTTTGTCCCTTGCTAGCTTTTGGTGAAGTGCCCTGGAATTTTCAGAAGAGCTGGTGTTGCTTGAAGTTACTTTATGGGTGACGCAGCTAATAGATTCCGTAGAATAACCCAAAGAGTAAGGATCGCTGTTATTGCTCTGACAGTTTTTGCAGGAAATGGACCAATCACTCGCGGCAGCATTGAGAGAGACGCCTACTGAGTTGCTCTTTACAATACCAGTTGACGTGCATAGAGACTGTCCTGGTTTATCCAGAATGTCACTGGAAATCCCGTCTGCAGAAGATACTGATTTAGGGTTCGTTCTAGAGGTGGAAGTCTGTTGTGAGCCCAGCATACATTCCTGACTGGTCCCAGCAGACGTAGTCCTGGAGTCCCAATCTTCTTTAGTACTGTCTTCGCAGGCAATATTTTTTCTGATTAGAATTAATAATGGGAAAATTGTGCATGAAGTAAACGTTAATTCAAACTTTGCATTCTTTTTTTTTTAGACAGCACAGTTTACATTTAACATATAACAATGTTTATAAGGTAATCTGCCTCACCAAGGGAGATGCAGAATATCCGTCTGCAGTCGATATGTAGAAGCTTTTCTACCAGTGAGTCGATGAGTCAGTGGACGGGGAAGACTTTAATATATTTTATTTCTTTTACACACTCTTAAAGCAGAGGCACACATACACACTTACGCATACATATGGTGATATTTACGCTACCTAGAGGGCTGAATTACACTTGTCTGAGGAAAGTTGAAGAAGTTAACTATCTAGGAAGTATATTCTCTGAGGACAGAAAAAACACACACATAAAACAAGATGCCAAAAGACCTGTACTTGTAGACCAACTTTTCCGTGTGGGTTCCCATCTGAGGGTGCGGGATGGGGTGGGGGGTAAGACCTACTGCCTCCCTAACAAGCATGTCCTAAAAGGCGACTAATTGGGGGTGTTTTTCTCGAAGTCAGAGTGCATCTGCCTGAAAGGGGGGAGGGAGGGAGGGGGGGGGGGTTACTAATATTATGCAAATAAATAACCCAGATTTGTTAAATGGATGTACATATAAAACGCAAATTCTAAAACAAGATCAAAGTCCAGCAGTGGACGAACAGCTAGTAATTTTTGCTGAAATTTATCGAAGAAAAAGAAGAAGAAGAAGAAGAAGAAGAAGAAGAAGAAGAAGAAGAAGAAGAAGAAGAAGAAGAAGAAGAAGAGAATATACCAGACAGAAACATCATATTACAAAACAACAGCGATTTCAGTGACAAAATTGTACATTATTAAAATATGCTGCATAAGATAGACTGATCACATTTTATATCCAGAAAGAATAACAGAAAAGGATGAAGTTGGTGATGATGATAATTACAGATTAACATTCATAAACGGATGATATTATATACCCATACAGAATAACTGAAAATAATGAAGTTGTTGTAGATGATGAGGATTATAACCTAACACTCCTTCAAGCCAAAGACCTTTATGGACTATACATTTATAATTTTCTCTTCTTCTTCTGCCGCCTATCCCCCAGTGGGTCATAGACCCTCAGCCAACTCACATCAAGCTGTTCTATCCTTCGGCTATTACATGCAGCTCTTCCAATGACCTCCCCATCCTTTTTCAGGTCACTCTCTAGCTCCCTACTTTATGTGTTTTTGACTTTCTTTTATTTCAATTCCCCTGTGGGTTCCAATGCAATTTACAATTGTAAACTTTATATATATTCGCAGATTTTATAATCACCTGCATGGCAAAATACCATCATCCTTTGATCGGCTGTACGGTTCTGTTTTATATTGAACACTTCCGGTTCTCATGTTTGTACTATGGCTTCTAGAGAAAAACGGCAGCTCGTTCTCTTCGTGTGTGTTTATGTGGTCTTCCAAAGAGGATTCTTTGATGATACTCTGGCTCAGTCTCGAGGTGCTACTAGACCCATCTCTCGTTCTGCTGTCCCTCAAGACTCCCTCTCTAGCGGACTGTTCAGATCTGGCTTCAATTCTATTGCGCCGGCCAGTTCCAGGACTTGACCTAAAATGCATTAATTTAAAATTTACAGTCAGGCAAAATAGAACAGAAGAGTCAATCTGATTCTGTGTTTGTAAATGTTATTTTTAACAAAATAACAAGCTTCTGTGTGTGTAAATGTTATTTTTAACGAATTAACAAGCTTCTCTGTGTGTAAATGTTATTTTTAACGAATTAACAAGCAAGTAGACAATAACAGTATTTATTCACTGGCAGACAGTAAAAAAGATTTTCGTTAGATTATCGTTTAGTCCTTCAATGTCCTGATACACAGGATACGTACGACGAAAACTGGAGTATGGCGTGGTAGCATACTCCACTGCAGCCAAATAAAAACCATTCAAACTGGACAGAATACAGAAAACTGGTCTATCGAATCCTCACTGGAGGTATGAGAAGCACACCAGTCAATGAGCTGGAGGCAACTTCTTGCCTCCCGAGCTTGATCCTTTGAAGGGAGAAAAAGGTGGTTACCCTAACAGAAAAATATATATTAACTAAAAAACCGACTCAAAAGACAAAGCTTTCACCACCTATCAAAATTCTACTATGAAAAAAAAAAAGTGACATCCTTCCTAAAGATCCTTCAACGTATGAAATGATCCACGCATACAGCATAGACCTACAGCCCAACAATACAGTCATAACAACAATAACAGGCAGAGACAGAAAGGCTGAAGTACTTGTACTGCATGCAAAGACTTCTGAACATGTCTACAACTCTTACTCAATACCCGAATGGATACACGTCTACACCGATAGATCACTGGAGGGAGCAACAACAACAACAACAACAAACTACTGAGAAGTTGAATTGGTCATCATGCTGCATGATGGAATCACAGTAGAAACGTCATGCGCCTCCTGAAGACTGTCAACTAACTTGAGAGCGGAGCAACAAGTAATTATTGATGCAACCCAAATGCTTGAAGAAAGAAAAGTTAAAAACAGAAAACTGTGTTTGTGACTGCATATCAGTCCTCCAGGCGACTCAGAGGAATTCATAAGACTACGAAGAAAGAAAGAATTGATACGCCAGTTGGAAAATAAACAAATCGTTCTCCAGTAGATCCCGGCTCACCCATTAATTGTCATTACCAGAAATCATAACATTCATCATGGAAAAAATGCAAGGAATTGTGGAGATAACAAACTAAGAGTAAACATCCACAAGACCCTATCAGCAGACTCAACAGAAACAAAATAAATCAATTTTCTGTCTACGAACAGGACAATGCGGGCTCAGCTACCACATTGATAAAATAAATATTGTACAGTCCCCACAATGTGCCTGTCAGACAGGACCACAAGCACCAGTGCACATTCTGCAGACCTGCCCACTCTACCTACAACTTCGAAAAGACACCTGGCCTCAAGAGCAAAGTATGCAGAGCAAGCTATGGGAACCCATAAAGGACCTGCTGTTGAAATGCGAGTTTAAAGAGGCCATTCACTGATCTAAGCATGGGAAACCGAAAGCCAGAAGAAGAAGAATGTCTTCATGCGTTTCAGGTTGTTTATTTCCCTTCTTCCACTTCTCACTTCCGTTTCACTTATACCTCAGCTCTCCTCTTTCACTATCTCCCCTGTATATCGATTCCATCTATCTCTTTATCCTTTGTCTTTTCTTCACACTCACCCCCCCCCCTCTTTTCCACCCCTATAGTTTATTTTCCATTAAATGGCGCAAACCTATATTTGCCATCATGCACACAAATTGCAGTAGAACATATATTCGGGAAAACCGCTAGCAGACTAGCAGATATTTTGCATGAACACATAAAGTATATTGGTAATGAGGCTCTTAAACCAGCCTTCACTATATTTTAATAGTTATGACCTACAAGACAAAAAGCAATAGCTCAGCTACTGCTATAAAATCTTCCCCCGTTGATTAAACTAGCTTCTCGTCCGTTGGCGAACTTGATCAGTAAGCGATAGGACGTAGCGGTTGTACTTGTGATGGTATCACGCTTAGCTGTTGGGAGTATGCGTGCGCAGTTGCATTTTAGAACTAGTAACTGGCAGGTTTGACATCTTACAGTTTCTGCATTACTGACATAAGCATGCAAAAAGCGCTCCCCAACCCCCTCTTTTGCAATGGTAATACTCCTAACTAACTTTACATGCTCAGCGAGACATAAATGGACTGGCGTATTTCTAATAAATATTGTAATGCAATAATAAATAGTAAAATCATGCATTTTAATTTAGCAATCGGAAGTGTGAGCGGCTAATACAGCCGTTACACGCACGTCTTCTCAATACACTGCCCCTCAGAAAATGGTTTCATACTGTTTTAGTGTTTTCAGTCCTGGAGGAATCACAATTCAACAGTTACATTAAATTTAATTTATTAAACTTATTTATATTTCTAATTCTTTTGTATTACTCAAACACCTTCGTTCTTAGTTATCCCCCACCCCTCTTTGTCCGTAGTATAGCTCTATGTGTCTATATTTTGAGAGCCCCCACCCCCCCCCCCCCCGCCTTTTTTTTTTACTTTCTCCAATTTCGTATTTCGTGGTTTAATGTTCATCCTTGGTTGTTAAGAAGCTCCACTGTCTCGTCCATGAACGTTTCCTGTCACAGTATGTGTTATATTTAGTGCTCTGTTTATAAAAACTTTGGTCGAAACTTTCGGGTGTACATGTGGGCGTCTTTGCCTCCGTTAAGCTTTCTAGTAACTTTTTATGTTGTGTTTAGTGCTTCTGTTGTTGTTCACATCATCCACTAAGTGTCAATTAATCTATAAAATGTAGGTCTTGCCCTATATACCCAATACTCATGAAATCATGAAAAGGGCCCTTTACTTACTTTTACTTTACTACTTCTAAAGTCTAACGCATGTTGGGCGATATTCCAAGAACCTTAACAGTTCAAACCCCTGATTATATTTTTTCCTAGTTTTTCAATGATTACAAAATAAACGAAAAACTTGGAATTAAGAAAAAAAAAATACACTTTGCAGACACATTTATGTGCGTGTGCGCGCTCGCACGTGTGCGTGGGTGGGTGTGCGTGTGTTTGTCGCGAGGTATCTCACCCACTGGTAAGAGATGGCCTCAGTCTGCAGGAAGCACATCTGGTTGGGACACTATAGCCGTCACTGGTAGACATGGATCTAGAAGTGCGACACACAGCAGATAACGTCCGCTCCACACCTGCTGGTTGGGTGTCGTCTTCTGGGTTGGGATAAAATAAGAAGTTGATAATATCAGATGCTGTTCATTGTTAACCGATTCGGTGCCTGAAGGTAAAGTTAAAAAGTGCATGCAATTGTTTATGTGCAGTTTTATGACAGTTGAGGTACCTCGGTTACCAGGGCTGTCGAAGTTAGTACTTTCGCAAGCCTCTGTGACGATTTAACCCTTGCCGAGTAAAATTGTACTTTTGTCCCAGGTACAATGATTTTGTATGTTTTCAAATTTTTGCATCCATAATTAATATGCTGGAATATTTTTAAAACACTAAACAAAGTGATTTGGATTGTACTAAAAGTAAACGTGATGCAATTGTTGATAGAACAATAAAGCTACCAATGATGTGATTAATAAGTACAGTTTTGTTCGTCCAGACAACTGGCGTATGGGTGTTTCTTATGTTGTTGCAGTTTAATAGTTCAATTTTTTTTTCAAGCTTATCTGGTTCCGTTTTTATTTCAAAGCATTTTGTGAGATTTTGTTGACACGTTTCTAATTGTTCCTGCTTTTTTTTTTTTAAATTTACTGCTTCAGTCTAAGTTTCCCATATAAACGAGCATTAAAAAAAATAATACAAATGTCAGCACAGATAATGATGACCTAAAAAAAAAAAAAAAAAAAAAAAAAAACGACTTAGCAGCTGCTTACGAACTGTACCAGCAGGAGCCGGCACAATAGCCTTGTAACAAACTGGCAACCAAATGGTATAGCATTTATGGACAAACAATTTCGTTCTGATCAGATGATATACAGTAAGTAATATGTATATTGAAGACAACTTATCACAGACATCAGAAGGAGACAGTCATAATTTTTCAGCCATGTTATGAGAAGAGGGAAAATAGAACATGTTGTGACCACTGGAAAGATCTGTGAAAGGAGGGATAGAGGAAGATAACGAGAGAAGATTCTTGACAGTCTTGTTGCATGACATGGAGGTGTGTCATCACACGAACTGATACATGCTGCAAGAGATCGTGGATTATGGAGAGGCATGATCGCCACTCCAGTCGACAAGGCACATGATGATGATGATATGTGTGTTCGTGTGCGTGGATGCGCGCGCGCGCGTGTGTGTGTGATTTTAAAGACGGTTCTTAAATAAAAAATTTAAAAAAAAATAGGATCTGTTTTGGTTTCTTTAAAAAACACATTTGTTACTATTGCCCAAAATATTTTGGCAGCCCTGTCAGTGACTAGAAGCTTGACTGTGGGGAATGACAGGGTCTTCGCCAACAAGTGGTCAAACCATTTTTGCCTCGCGCTCTAAAGGTCGTGGGTTCATTTCGCGACTGGGTCGTTCGGCTCACGAGTGCTATATTTACAAAGATTCCTTGAGATCTCACCACAGCTACGGAGTTCGTGAATCGTTTGCGTCTTTCGGCTAGCGGTTAGCCGTTCTGCGTTGAAAAGCTGAGCCAAATGGGATTAAACTTGGTGTAATGAAGTCGACCTTTTCGCCTTTAAACTCTAGACTACGCGTTTGAAGGTTTTCAGTTTTATCACGAACTCGCTGACACGACGAGAGTTCTTTCCCTTTTTATTCGTGCCGCGGCGATTGCACGGCCTGTCCTATGTTGTGGGGTGTTATGAGATGGCTTCGGCTTTCGCTTTCTTTAAGGCGCCACGGGCAGCTGTGTTCAAGTTAGAACCACTTCAGGGTACAGCGCTGCAGGTGTGATTGTTCGTGAGTATCGAAACTGGGATGATTTTGTATTTCTTCGTACCTTAGCGGTTGGCTTTACTCTAGAAAAAAAGAAGCTACTGGCAAGGAACGTAGGAATAAAAAAAAAAATATCGCAGTTTACATGCTTATGAACAGTAGGGAAAGTAGCACAACGTGGAACTAATCACAAAAGACACAAGAGACGAATGTTAAACTATTGAAAATACGGAATACATGATACCCCTGCAACATAGGACAGATGGTGCGACCCTCGCGGCATGAATGGGAGGGTAAGGAGCTCTCGTTGTGCGGGCAGGTTTGTGATAAGTACCTTTTTCATTCTAATAGTTGATGGTGGCACATGGTTCTGTAGTCATATTTTTGCAGATCAATCGGCACTCGATTGGCGGTCTGTTCAGCACCCCACAGTTACTTCCAAAAATATTTCTCAAAACCCGTTAGGATGAATGGGCGCCGCAATAACATAACGTATAGATGCTGGCCTGCTGTTCAGTAAGTCTTCTATTAGATTCCAGTCAGATATGCTTTCAAAATTTTCGTTTTTAGAGTTCAACCCAGCCTAAAATGGGGACCAGGTACAGTCCTGGGAAATAAAGAATATCAACTACTGAGTGTCGATTGACCTTTACAAATACAAGCCAAGGATCATATACGAATGTTCTTATTGTTTGTCAGCCGTGCTGTGCAGAAAGGGCCCCTTACATTTATTTTAAAAATTCAAAGCCTGATACTGATTCCAACCAGAAATCTTCGTGTACAATTCCTGAAGGGATTTGGGGTCTTTCTTAAACAAATCGTACATCTTGTAACCAACTTTCTGTGATATCACGAAAATCTGTATAGTCTGCCACTTTAAATGTTGTGATAGCAGTAAGGAGGAGAGGCTGGCCGAACGGTTGGAACGCAGGGCTCTGAAGCAAGAGACCTGGGTTCGAATCCTCGGTAAGGCTGGGGATTTCTTCTGTTGTAGACAACAAAAAAAAAAAAAAAAAAAAAAAAAAAAAAAAAAAAAAAAACACACACACACACGCACACCCTCACATGCAAGGTCCGTGGCGACAGCACTAGCCATGCGGCCGTACATTCTCAGGCTCAAACACCCCCCTCCCTCCCCCACACGCCTACACTGCAAACATGGTAAAAAAGGCAGTTTTTCGCAGTTCATTGGCCTTGCTTACTACAGCACTGGTCTATATCCTCTTCGTGTCGCTGTTGACACATAAGGCATTCACAAGTGATCTCCATTGCTGTCGGTCTGCTGCCTTTATGCCCATGGTATCCCATGTCAGTTTACATTCCTTCATTTCCCATTCTATTGTCCTTCTCCAGATTTAGTTAGGTCGTTCACGTCTCCTTTTCCCATCTGCTGTCCACCGGAGAACTGTTTTTGCCAGAGTGTCACAAAGAGTAAGTAATGTAAAAATCCTTTTACACGCCCTAAGGCGCATCGAGCATATGGGAAGAGCACCCATATTTTTACAGACCAATGGGCACTTGGTGGGTTATGTGGTCAGCATTACGCCGGCCGTCTTTATTTTCCCAGGACATCCATCCCGGTACCCATTTGAGGCTGGGTCGACCTGCGACGTCCCATACCACGATAAAAATCCACGCAGCCCACACAGGTTTCGATCGCGGTACGTTGGATTACGAGTCAGACTCGCAACGCCTTAGCCACGGACGCCGCAGAGTGTCACAAGGCATTCTGCAAACATGTCCAAGCCATCTCCATCGTCTTACATAACATTTACAAGTGATGAACATTCTGTTTTCCTCCTCAGTTCTTTATTTGTGATTTTGTTTGGCCAAAATATTCGTATAAATCTCATTTAACATTATTTTGAAAAGTCTCAAGTTTATGTGTAATTCCCGCTGTCATTTTCCAACATTCACTGTTGTATAATAGTATTCCTAAAATATGCTCTTGAATATTTTAAGTTTTGTCTGCAAACAAAAGCCCTTTGACTTCCGTATATTGTGTTAGGCATAACATATGCTTCATTTGCGTTGTTCATTCTTAATGTTACATCCTTTTCAGAATATACATCTAGAGTAACTATACTTCCGATGTATATGCATTCTTCAAATTCCTCTAATGCTTCCTCATTTAAGATAATTGGATTTTCTGTTTTGTAATTATTTCTCATTACTTTAGTTTTACTGGTGTTTATTTTGAGTCCTATCTTAAGGGCTGTTGTAGAAAGTATTTCAATCTTTTCCCGACCGTCCACATGACGACTTGATATAAGGCTGATGTCATCTGCATAGTCCAAATCCTCTAAAAGAGAGGTGAGTGACCACCTGATGCCTCTTTTTTTATTTCGTCTAACTTCCTTCATCAGCCAGTCAATGGCCACATTGAAAAAGTGGTAATAAAGGCAGCAGTTATTGGCAGATAGAGTAACCGGTGCCCTTGTTTACTACCTTACTGGTATGGGATGTTATTCCCAGCAGAATCATAATTTGTTATTGACATACCAAAAATGTTAGTAGCGTATCTTTTACAGAATTTTGCAGAACTAACTCCAGAATGTCCCTATTAATAAGAAATTCGTAAACATAATGACAGAATAGAGAACTACCCTAAACAGTTCAAGAATAGAATTTAAATATTTGTACAGCTCTCAGTCTGGACGTTACAGCATAACATGAAATAGAGCAGTTATCCAGCTGCAAAGTGTTGTTGAATCCATGCCTAGTAATAACATGTCCGAGTTGAGTTGAGTCAAGAATTTACATCACAGCACTCGGGGCATGCCCATGTGTGCATGTGTGCTGCGTCCTTATCTTCAGCAGCCAGCGAAGAGTTCCAATACTGATGGTACCGGTCACTATCTGGTTATATGTCCGTCTTGCCTTTGCTCTGAGTGTAACATGTCCTAGCAACAACGATCGCCTGCGTCTGATTTCTCTGATCAGTAATCACGAAATTTATTCTCAGACATGTCTAATTATACTCTAGGAAGACACAGGAACTAACTATTTGACCTTATTATGCTGTGGCCTTATAACATTTTAAGCCTTTACCACTTTACATCCCAATGGCATTATCATGAGACTGTCACCACTGTAGTTTTGAGGTTTAGATGCATCTTTCCTATATCGGTTTATGGATGGGAGTCGTAGACACTTATGCGATCGCTACCGAAAAAAAAATCTGGAGGTTTTGAAATAAAGGAGAGACATTCTTAGACTACCACGGACAAAGATGAGGAAAGACACCGTTATTCTGTATGACCTGAGCATCAAGAAGAATTGGCTCGTAAATAGCATCTTGCCCTGAAAGCTGAGCTACTTTAGCCATGTTAAACGTCACGTCTGCCTGGAGTTAGCAGAGGGTACCATTTCTGGAAAACGAGGCAGAGACAGACCATAACGATTGTGAATACAACACCTCGACGATGCATTGGCTATGAAAGCATACAGGAACGTACAATTGGCTATATTAAAAAAAAGAAGATTTTCAGGCGTGCCGTGAGGAGAGCGACGTTCTGTATAGGACATACTAATTGATGATGATTACAACTGCACACGTTAAACTGACCTTTGATACGCACATCGCTGCTGGCATCGGTCCCCTTCTCCAAAAGGTCCGGTGTGTGAAAGGTCACGGACTCTCTACTGACCCTGTCGTTGACACATGCTGCAACACTACCGTTGTGTGATCCGCTGTTTGTATTCGAGTTAGTTGTGCCAGTTTCTTCTTGCATCTAATGTCAAGATAGGGAAATACAATTATTCTGAAGTAAATTACAGCTACAAATAACATTAATCAAGACATTTTAACAACAGCAAACTTTCTTTCCCATTCGTTATCCGTATAGTAAATTAGAGTTTATAGTAACAATTTCCTGTTTTATCAATGTAGTACTTACTGAAGTCTATGATTTACTTAGTGATATTTTTGTTTACACAATCAGGGATTATTCATGTTGATTGCTAAAACGTCTGTCATTTTCATTATTCGCCTGTTCAGTATTTGGTTAATAATTTGCAAGGAACAAGCGCTAGGATATCGATAATGTTAATAATAATAATAATTAAAAAAAAAAGCAATTCAGACAATGAACAGCACAGAGAAACGCCTAGAGCTGTGATCAGTAAACTCATTATTCAAAAGAGCCCAAAATCAACAGCAGGACGATGAAAAACTTGCTGAGGGCCAAATTTCTTTTGAAGAACCTCTCAATAACCATGTTTTTCAGAGTCAAAACCGATTTGTGGCCAACTGGCCGAGCCGCACTCAGCTCGTTAAGGAGCCGCATGCCGCTCACAAGCCGCGATTTGCTGATCACTGGCTCATAGAATAACATCTTCAAACAACGTATTTGTGACTTGCAAACGTATACATTTTTTTTTCTCGGAAATGATGGCGTCTCTTGAGATATTTTACATTATTCTACTGAATTCTTCTCTTCCGTCACTTCAGTGAAGTGTTAGGTGTGAGGTGTACGAATACACTATTTGCAGTTTTCTCTAAGATTGTTCTGATGTCATTGTTCAAAATTTCGCTTGAGCTTTCCCTAGCCACGTTCATTCATTTCATTTGTTATCTTTTATATTTGTTTGTTTATAACCTATTTGTAGTGAAACCTTTTGGTGCTGCTCAGTAGTCTGTTTTTCTTTGCATATCATTTTTGTTCTTACTTAGCAAAACAATATCATCAGCAAAATCATGATATTCCACCTGAGTTTTCCACCCAGTCAATGCTGATGTTTCCAACACTACATTGATCGTCACCCAGTCAATGCTGATGTTTCCAACACTACATTGATCGTCACCCAGTCAATGCTGATGTTTCCAACACTACATTGATCGTCACCCAGTCAATGCTGATGTTTCCAACACTACATTGATCGTCAACCAGTCAATGCCGATGTTTCCAACACTACATTGATCGTTTCCACACCATCGTCAACCAGTCAATGCCGATGTTTCCAACACTACATTGATCGTCAACCAGTCAATGCTGATGTTTCCAACACTACATTGATCGTCAACCAGTCATTGATGTTTCCAACACTACATTGATCGTCAACCAGTCAATGCTGATGTTTCCAACACTACATTGATCGTCACCCAGTCAATGCCTGATGTTTCCAACACTACATTGATCGTCAACCAGTCAATGCTGATGTTTTCCACATTGATCGTCACCAGTCAATGCTGATGTTTCCAACACTACATTGATCGTCACCCAGTCAATGCTGATGTTTCCAACACTACATTGATCGTCACCCAGTCAATGCCTGATGTTTCCAACACTACATTGATCGTCAACCAGTCAATGCTGATGTTTTCTACAACACACTACATTGATCGTCAACCAGTCAATGCTGATGTTTCCAACACTACATTGATCGTCAACCAGTCAATGCCGATGTTTCCAACACTACATTCGATCGTCATCGTCAACCAGTCAATGCCGATGTTTCCAACACTACATTGATCGTCAACCAGTCAATGCTGATGTTTCCAACACTACATTGATCGTCACCCAGTCAATGCTGATGTTTCCAACACTACATTGATCGTCACCCAGTCAATGCTGATGTTTCCAACACTACATTGATCGTCACCCGTCAATGCCAGTTTCCAACACTACATTGATGTCAATGCCGATGTTTCCAACACTACATTGATCGTCACCCAGTCAATGCCGATGTTTCCAAACACTACATTGATCGTCAACCAGTCAATGCTGATGTTTCCAACACTACATTGATCGTCACCCAGTCAATGCTGATGTTTCCAACACTACATTGATCGTCAACCAGTCAATGCCGATGTTTCCAACACTACATTGATCGCCACCCATGCCGATTCAACACTTTCCCACCAATGCTGATGTTTCCAACACTACATTGATCAGTCAATGCCGATGTTTCCAACACTACATTGATCGTCAACCAGTCAATGCTGATGTTTCCAACACTACATTGATCGTCACCCAGTCAATGCCTGATGTTTCCAACACTACATTGATCGTCACACCAGTCAATGCCGATGTTTCCAACACTACATTGATCGCCACCCAGTCAATGCCGATGTTTCCAACACTACATTGATCGCCAACCAGTCAATGCTGATGTTTCCAACACTACATTGATCGTCAACCAGTCAATGCCGATGTTTCCAACACTACATTGATCGTCAACCAGTCAATGCCGATGTTTCCAACACTACATTGATCGTCAACCAGTCAATGCCGATGTTTCCAACACTACATTGATCGTCAACCAGTCCTGATGTTTCCAACACTCATTGATCGTCACCCAGATGATTTCCAACACTACATTGATCGTCACCAGTCAATGCTGATGTTTCCAACACTACATTGATCGTCACCCAGTCAATGCCGATGTTTCCAACACTACATTGATCGTCAACCAGTCAATGCTGATGTTTCCAACACTACATTGATCGTCAACCAGTCAATGCTGATGTTTCCAACACTACATTGATCGTCAACCAGTCAATGCTGATGTTTCCAACACTACATTGATCGTCAACCAGTCAATGCTGATGTTTCCAACACTACATTTCCAAACACTACATTGATCGTCAACCCAGTCAATGCTGATGTTTCCAACACTACATTGATCGTCACCCAGTCAATCGATGTTTCCAACACTACATTGATCGTCACCAGTCAATGCCGATGTTTCCAACACTACATTGATCGTCACCCAGTCAATGCCGATGTTTCCAACACTACATTGATCGTCACAATGCCAGTACAACGATGTTTCCAACACTACATTGATCGTCAACCAGTCAATGCTGATGTTTCCAACACTACATTGATCGTCAACCAGTCAATGCCGATGTTTCCAACACTACATTGATCGTCAACCCCAGTCAATGCTGATGTTTCCAACACTACATTGATCGTCCACCCAGTCAATGCTGATGTTTCTCCAACACTACATTGATCGTCACCCAGTCAATGCTGATGTTTCCAACACTACATTGATCGTCACCCAGTCAATGCTGATGTTTCCAACACTACATTGATGACCGTCAACCAGTTCCAACACTACAATCGCCGATGTTTCCAACACTACATTGATCGTCAACCCAGTCAATGCCGATGTTTCCAACACTACATTGATCGTCACCCAGTCAATGCCGATGTTTCCAACACTACATTGATCGTCACCCAGTCAATGCCGATGTTTCCAACACTACATTGATCGTCACCCAGTCAATGCTGATGTTTCCAACACTACATTGATCGTCAACCAGTCAATGCTGATGTTTCCAACACTACATTGATCGTCAACCAGTCAATGCCGATGTTTCCAACACTACATTGATCGTCAACCGATGTTTCCAACACTACATCGTCAACCATGCATTGATCGATGTTTCCAACACTACATTGATCGTCAACCAGTCAATGCTGATGTTTCCAACACTACATTGATCGTCACCCAGTCAATGCTGATGTTTCCAACACTACATTGATCGTCACCCAGTCAATGCTGATGTTTCCAACACTACATTGATCGTCACCCAGTCAATGCTGATGTTTCCAACACTACATTGATCGTCAACCAGTCAATGCCGATGTTTCCAACACTACATTGATCGTCAACCAGTCAATGCCGATGTTTCCAACACTACATTGATCGTCAACCAGTCAATGCCGATGTTTCCAACACTACATTGATCGTCACCCAATTGATCGTCAACCAGTTCCAACACTACATTGATCGGTTCAATGCCGATGTTTCCAACACTACATTGATCGTCACCCAGTCAATGCTGATGTTTCCAACACTACATTGATCGCCACCCAGTCAATGCTGATGTTTCCAACACTACATTGATCGTCACCCAGTCAATGCTGATGTTTTCCAACACTACATTGATCGTCAACCAGTCAATGCTGATGTTTTCCAACACTACACATTGTCAATCGTTTCCAACACTACATTGATCCAACCAGTCAATGCTGATGTTTCCAACACTACATTGATCGTCAACCAGTCAATGCTGATGTTTCCAACACTACATTGATCGTCAACCAGTCAATGCTGATGTTTCCAACACTACATTGATCGTCAACCAGTCAATGCTGATGTTTCCAACACTACATTGATCGTCAACCCAGTCAATGCCGATGTCCAACACTACATTGATTCCAACACTACATTGATCGTCAACCAGTCAATGCTGATGTTTCCAACACTACATTGATCGTCACCCAGTCAATGCCGATGTTTCCAACACTACATTGATCGTCAACCAGTCAATGCCGATGTTTCCAACACTACATTGATCGTCAACCAGTCAATGCCGATGTTTCCAACACTACATTGATCGTCAACCAGTCAATGCCGATGTTTCCAACACTACATTGATCGTCAACCAGTCAATGCCGATGTTTCCAACACTACATTGATCGTCACCCAGTCAATGCCGATGTTTCCAACACTACATTGATCGTCAACCAGTCAATGCTGATGTTTCCAACACTACATTGATCGTCACCCAGTCAATGCTGATGTTTCCAACACTACATTGATCGTCACCCAGTCAATGCTGATGTTTCCAACACTACATTGATCGTCACCCAGTCAATGCCGATGTTTCCAACACTACATTGATCGTCAACCAGTCAATGCTGATGTTTCCAACACTACATTGATCGCCACCCAGTCAATGCCGATGTTTCCAACACTACATTGATCGCCACCCAGT